ACACCTTGGTGTTTATTATAATCCACCTGGATTATACAAGCGTTTGTCTTCAAATATCTTTATGACAATGCAGTGATCAGTAAGAGCCAGTACAAGTCTTTGTCAATTACAAATTCTGCTAAATTAATCTTCTATCTTTTTTTTTGGACGTGGTCACTAGTTTAGTAGATGGTTTCAGCAAAATGTTTGATAAGTTCCCCCAGAGGTGGCCGAGTCTCCTTCTCTAAACATTTTCAGAAATATTTTGGAGAGCTACCTGCTTGGGATGCTTTAGCTGGAGATCCTGCCCTAAGCAGGCAGTTGGACTCCATGGTCCACAAGATCCCTTCCAACTGCACAATTCTATGGTTCTAGATTAATTTTTAGCTTCTATTGTCAAGATAAACACTTCTAAGACAATGTAAAATGTCCTTTTAGACCAGTGGTTCTCAACCTTCTCAATGGCATGACCTCTCATGTTGTGGTAACTCCCAACCATAAAATTATTTTAATTGCTACTTCATAACTAATTTTGCTACTGTTATGAATTGTAATGTAAATATCTGATATTCAGGATATGTTTTCATTCACTGGACCAAATTTTGGCTGAAATTTGAATACTGGCGGGGTTGGGGGGGATTTGTTTTGTCATTTGGGAGCTGTTGTTGCTGGGATATATAGTTAACCTGCAATCAAAGAGCATTCTGAACTCCACCAGCAATGGAATTGAATCATACTTGCCACGCAGAACTTCCATGATCAAGAGAAAATACTGGAAGGGTTTGGTGGGCATTGGCGTTGTGGTTCACCTACATCCAGAGAACCCTGTGGACTCAAACAATGATGGATCTGGACCAAAGTTGGCAAAATACTCAATATGCCCAAATGTGAACACTGGTGGAGTCTTGGCAAAGTAGACCTTGACATTTGGGAGTTGTAGTTGTAGTTCTTCCCACACAGAACCCCTATGACCAACAAAAAAATACTGTATTTTCTGAGAGTCTTTGGTGACCCCTCTGATACCCCCTCATGCCCTTCCCAGGGGTCCTGACTCCCCAGGTTGAGAAACGTTATTTTAGACTGTTTTTCAATTTCTTTTGTCTGCCCTAGTAAGTGAGAACTGAACTGCAGATTTTTTTCTGTTCAATTGAAAAACTACATGTAAAGCCTCCCTCCAAATATATACATGCACCAGAATTAAAACCACAGTGAGCCATGATGCTGTAACTGTAATGTGAAAGAACATTGTATATTCATTCATGTACATTTGGAAGGTCTTCCCTGAACTGTGGAATAAACAAGGCATTGTCATCATCCCACAATTGTCAGACAGTGTTATGCTGTTATGTAATGTGTGTATAAATATCACAATGAGTAGGGCTACTAAGCTTCACAGATTAGCAGAGGCAAAACAGGAGGAGCAGCATTATTTCCAGTGTGGGATTAATACTTTGAATGCAGATTCATTTAAAAAGACAGTTTAGTTATATGCGTGTAAAAGGCTGAGAGCCAATACAATCCCAGTCCCTAATCTGGTCTGAGCCTTTGATATTTGTGACATGACCTGGGATAAACTGCATGACCTCTTGCCAGCTCAGTTGCTAAAGCCATGTAGTGTTGTAGCGAAAAAGGATGGTGTGTGTTTGACCTCTAAGAAAGACCTTGAAGATCTAAAGATCCATGCAAGGAGCTCCTGATACCCAAAGGAATATTACTCTGGAGTTTCTCGAACTACAACAACATGGCAAATCTATTTTGAAATGATGAACTTTTAAACTATTAGATTCTGATGTATTCTGACAGCCTGGTATCTAAATGTTTAAAACTCAAGATCTGTGGAGAGTTTGGGAAAGGTATTTACTATAATTCCCAGCATCCCCTCCATCCTTGGAGGGGGAAGGGAATACTGACATTTGTAGCGCCAAAATAACATTCCCAAGCAATTTCCTAAGTGTACCCAAAGCAATTATTTCTATTTTAATCTATATGATCAAAAAAGTGCAGTTTTTATTATCTCCTACTTTTGTAATCAATGCGAAGGTTATATAATTTTGAGTCCTGTGAATTTTTAGACTGCAGACTTCCACTTTCTAATGTCAAATTATCCTGACACCATAATATGCCATTTATATAGCTGTGCACAATTATGAAATAGTCTTTGTATAACTGTATAAATTTGGAGCGTGAGCTAAAACTCTTCTAGGGGTATTTTTTTACCTAGTAGCATAAAAAAGCTGACAGACTTAAAATTAGTGTGCTTTTAAGGCTATGAGTTTTATGTTGTATGCAGGGTGAAAGAGGAGATGTGAAGGTGACTGTTGAGCACATCCTGGTTTAAGGACTTGAGTACAAAAAAGAAAGTAGGAGCCCTGATCTCCAATCAGTAAACACTTTACAAAGGCACTGTTGTTTTTGGAAGGCATGATCACATGTTCATTTTAGAACTTTTAAATTACTACTAAAGAATTAATATATCTATTATTTTAATGCATATTCCTGCTATTTGATAGTTGCACCTATCTTCATAATCCCTGGCAGTTAGTAGTGGAAATGTCACTCCCCAATGACTGCTGGGTGATTGTGACAGTGTGTCTCTCTATGAATCATCTTGAAGATTAAGATCCTCTGTGAATACCCTGCTTTCTGTCCCACCTCCTTCGCAGGTACGATTGGTGAGGACGAAAGACAGAGCTTTCTCAGTTGTGGCCCCTCGGCTATGGAACTCCCTCCCCATTGAGATCAGATTAATTCCTTCTCTCCTGATCTTTAGGAAAAAAAACGTAAGATGTGGCTTTAGGACCAACCTTTTGACAAGTAATTGGAGCAGTGCAATAAGTGGCTATAAACAATGTAATTGACAAATGGAACAGCTGTGGATTATGTTTTAGTTGGTGTGATTTTAATTGTTGATTTTAATCATTCTGGTTTTAATTGTAATTGTTTATTCAATATATGTATGGCATCAAGTTGCTGCCTGTTGTAAGGCTGCTTTGAGCCCCCCCCCCCCCCAGGTGAGAAAAGAGGGATATAAATATGGTAAATAAATAAATAAGTGTAGTTTCTTCCCCTCCAAAAAACACCAAAAACATGATTCTGCATATTATCTATGTACTCATTCCGTTATTTACATTACCTTCCTACTGAAAATTTCAGTTTTCATTATTTACCATAAAAGACTGAAAACATGTAGGATGTGGAAGAAGAGTCATGTCTGTGTTAACCCTCCTTTCTTGTCAGTTTTTTTTTTAAAAAAAATCATAATACTAATTTTGATATTAGTATTATTCTAACTGAATATTACAGTTTTGAGGAGGAGGAGGAAGGAGAGTAACTAAGCATAGGATTTCTGGGCTTTGAGTACCAGGGGACATTGGTTGGTCTTCAACTGGAGTGCCCTAAGTCATGGTTTGGTGCACTTCTGTGGTTCTCAGCTGTGAAAAAGCAAAGGCAAACCATTTCTGGAGATGAGAAAGGGAATAAGGAGTTTGGGGATAGTGCTGTTATGTTATGTTGTTGTTGTTGTTCATTCATTCAGTCGCTTCTGACTCTTTGTGACCTCATGGACCAGCCCACGCCAGAGCTCCCTGTTGGCCATCACCACCCCCAGCTCTTTCAAGGTCAAGCCAGTCACTTCAAGGATACCATCCATCCATCTTGCCCTTGGTTGGCCCCTCTTCCTTTTTTCCTTCCATTTTCCCCAGCATCATTGTCTTCTCTAAGCTTTCCTGTCTCCTCATTATATGGCCAAAGTACTTCAACTTTGTCTCTAATATCCTTCCCTCCAATGAGCAGTCGGGCTTTATTTCCTCAAGTATGGACTGGTTGGATCTTCTTGCCGTCCAAGGCACTCTCAGAACTTTCCTCCAATACCACAGTTCAAAATCATCTATCTTCCTTCGCTCAGCTTTCCCTATGGTCCAGGTCTCACATCCGTAGGTGACTATGGGGAGTACCATTGCTTTAACTATGTGGATCTTTGTTGTCTGTGTGATGTCTCTACTCTTCACTATTTCCCTATAATGCAGTTATAGGGAACATGTTATTCCCCTGTTACATGTTAGAGTTTTGCTATCAGTCTGTTTCTGGGTGTGAATATAACTACTTACTGTTTATGGCTAACAAAGCGTTCTACAGCTTGAGTTCAAATTATCTAAGCCGGGTACTGGGTAATTTTGCATGACCTAGGCAAAAGGTTTGTTTTAAGATTTCCAGAGTGTGATGAAGAATGAGAAATATTCCTCTTTTTGCATTCCAAACTTAGAAATCCAGTCATCCATTTCCATTCTTCCAAACAGAGAGAGAGAGAAAAGGATAAATGGAAGAGGTTGAAAAATGTTATGTTGGGGTGACAATGGGTCTCAGAACCACAGGCTGACTTGAAGATTGTGGGAGCTGTCATCCGGGGAGAAAAGAGATTTTTTCCAAGCCTTGTTTCCAAGTGCTGTGTGGGATGATAAAATTATTTTAGTGACATTTCATAATTGTGTGTTTCTTAACATTAATGTTAAGACTGAGCGGGGGGGCTTTGTTAGGTGTTAGACAAACTTTATAGTGTAATCTCAACAAATGTCTATTCAGAATTAAATTCCACCAAGTTCTGTGGGGGTTACTTCTAAGTAAGTGAGAACAGAAAAACAGCTTTCATAATTTTGGTTTGATTAGAATGTTATGTGTCTTTGTGTTCATTCTGTATAAAAAAATACAAATACGTGAGAATTTTTAAGGTTTAGCCTACTGTAGTAGAGTAAAATGTGTTTTTGATATGTTGCCTTGGTGATTTTTGAGAAAACAATAGTGGGAAGATTCTGAAGAGAAGTTGGTAGATGAAATTATTTGTGGCAGTCTTTCACGCTGAGTGTTTGTAGGTGTTCTGGACCAGAAAATAAAATCCGTCACATGCCATTAAGAACAACCAAGTTATGTGAAATTAAGTTATGTGAAGTTAAGTGAAATCATGAACTGGAGTTTGTTTTATGTTTTGACTGGCTTGAAATGATTGATCTTGTTCTTTTCCCTCATAGCTCCACATTAAGAAGTGTCTCCTCTGGATCCTCAAGACCTTCCAAAGTGTGCTTGGTGTGCGGGGATGAGGCATCTGGATGCCATTATGGAGTAGTTACTTGCGGCAGCTGTAAAGTCTTTTTCAAGAGAGCCGTGGAAGGTAAATCCTCATGTGGGTTCTCTTTTTATACTTTTTTCTGATAGTATATAAGTGATTTACATTGCATGTTTCTTTAATATTTAACAATAATTGCTGGAAATGACTCAACTCATGCATACATCTTCTATGTTACCTGGAGAACACCTGGATGTGATCTGCTTTATGCCCTTGAGATTTAATTTAAATTCACACCCTCAATTCTAATTCTTCACCACCTTGATTCATTTCTTCTACTAGACCTGAAGAGGAAAAAAAAATCAGTGTATCCCCTAATAAACATGTCTAAACTGGAATGGAAATCTGAATTGAAACAAGTTAATGAGGTGTCCAACTGTTTTTCAGAAACCTGTACATAATAACAGATGTAGTTTATATCTAATTTAAGTATGATGATTATATAACTCCGAATCCACCTTTTTAAGGTTGATAAAAATGTGTTGTTCTGGAAAATACATTGCTAAACTCCTGGAGAGTCATAGGGTGAAAAGGCTAGATTTTAAATGCATGAAAATATTGGGTTACAGGTCCTAAAAATATTTAGAACAAAGAGTTGGAAGCACGAATACTTCTAGAGCTCCTTCAGAATATAATCTGTTGCAATATCCCATATTGCTTGCTTCTTTTTGCTTCAGTTTTTGTGGCACTACTTGATAAATCTGTCTCTTTATCCTGACAATTTTCCTGTCATTCCCATTTCTGTTCTGCTTCTCCGTTATTATACTTTCAATCTTATTCTCTTGTTTCCTTCACTGTTGAGAAGCATTTCTTACATATCAGTGTAAAGATATGAAATAATGGAGGTGAAGGGAATCTGTAGAAAGTCTTAGTTGGAAAGGCTGTTATTTCTTTTCTTTTTTGTGTTCCTGTCCTTTGTTTTATATTGTGAAATGAAAAATTCTAAGTTTAATAACTATTCAATTATAATTCTATTTATTTATGAAATATGTTTAAAATATATGAAAGTTTATCTTTTGAGCTTTTTCTATTTTTAATTATTTTTGTTCTATGCATAATAATAGGGAGGTCTGTATTTATTTATTTACTTTATATACTATCCTTTCTCCAAATATGGAATCAAAAGGTGGTTTACATTATAACCTTAAAATAAAATACAGTTGAAATGTTAACAAAATTAAATAGATACAGTATTTGTATTAAAAATATAAAACAATAATACAAAATATAGCATACCTTATTGAAAAAATATTTTCCCAAGCTCAGATAATTTTGTCTATTGCATATCCTCCAATAACTTATTTTGTTTATCGAAGTGCTGATAGTTTTAGGAGTTTATCCTGTTATTTTTCCAACTGGCAAAACATAATACACTCTTGGGTATCTTAGTGTGAAGCAGCTTGCAGTTCCATCTCTGATTCCGGATGTATTTTAAATGATTGTTTGAATAAAGCAAGAATATTTGTACTTTTCAATGTTATAATTCCAGAAAATTGCACAATTTTATTTGGTAGCTTAGACACGTAGCAAATTAAAGAAACACATATTCCATTTTTGAATTTGAAAGATCAGTGTGCCCTCCCCCCTTCATGGTAAGGTAGTGTCAATAATTTTTAGACCCAATTTACTTTAAATCTGGAGAATCCAGTTCAAGGTGACATGGTGTGTGAAAATATGATTGTACTGGAGTTTAGAATGTCAGTTCTGTTCCCTCAATTCTTTATGAAATATAGGTATTGTAGTGCCTTTGTACAGAAAATATTTATATTATAATATAATATTCTGTGTATTTATTTTGAGATATAATAAATATCGTAATAAATAGGGTGTTTCAAAAAATGGACTCGATTTGAAATTGCTATACCTCTGCAACCACAAATTGCCCATGAATGAAACTCTTGCCTCTTGAAAGTGTAGGGCATAGAGCTTCAAGATCTGGTTTCAGTCTCTTGCTTCTTGACTGCTCATTCTCAGGTCTGCATATGTGTCAAGAGAGCTGCTTTTTCAAGTTCCTTTCTCTCAATATAACTCAAGAAATTCAGTTATTGACTGCAAATAACCCAAGCCTAAATGCACCAGATCCTGTCTACTCTTGGAAGGATCGGTCCTGGTTAGTACTTGCAGTAACCATGGCTGATATTTGTCGGTCAGGGTGCTGCCAACAAATACCACAGGTTTTAGGCTATATTTCAGAGGAAGGAACTGGCAAAGCCACCCGTGCGTATTCCTTCCTAAGAAAATTCTAGAAAATTAATAGGGTTTGAAAGCATAGGCATACAAAGAGCAACAGAAGCAATGTGTCTAGACACAGAATGACTTTGGCTAAAGGTGCACATATTAGTACACAGAATTATAAAACAAAATAACTGAAGAAAATGGTCCTCTTGCCATAGACTGTGGGAGCATCTCCACACTGTGTGTATATCTGCATACATATGCAATATTGGTTTGTGACTTTGTGTATATCTAATTCTCATTCAGAATTGATAACTAGGTTAATGCATGTACATATGTATCAAATTTGATAATTACATATACATATGTGTACATGAATATTTGCTCACACATCAAAAAATACCCAAAATGTATTGATGGCAGGTGCTTTTTCTTCTTTCATTGTGCTTCATAGGTGTGGACAGTGCACTAATCTTTCTACAGTGAATCTGTATTGTCTGACTGCAGAAAATGAGTAATGAATTTGTTTACAAAATATTGGCTGACATCCTCTTAGACATTTAGGAATGCATAAGCTAGACTTGACACATTTGTAATTGTTCTGTATTTATGTTTGCAATTATGGCACTATTTCCATGATTGCAAATGTTTCTCCAACCTACGTTAACAGTAGCTGCACTGAGCAACAGAGGTTTGGTCTACTGAGTCCTGGAATGCAACAGGGATGCCATTTCCAGCTCCTTCCCATAAGTGATAAGGGATTGGTACAGGGATCCTTCTTCTGACGGTCTTTTGCTTGTGTGGTAGAGAACCACAACGTAAATATGTCATACCACCTCATAGCATGATCTCATAGCATCTGACTGTGGCCCCTGTATGCATCTTTGATTTAGTTTAGACATCACAGTTAACAATAGTTTGCCATGAAGCCAGTGATTAACAAATCAAAATCCAGTTTGATGTGGGACTTCACACACAAAAAATGGCAGTGCTAAACCATGATTTGGTGTAGTGTCTGAATTGATGTGGCATATTTATTTATTTATTTATTTATTTATTTATTTATTTATTTATTTATCGTGTCAGGGCAACCAGACAATTGTATTACATTTCTAACAGAACAAAGCAAACAAACATACAAAACACAAAATTTGCAAGCTTGGTAGTTGATTGAATGTCCCTTGACCAGTATCTGACCACTTGGAGTGCCTCTGGTGTTGCCGCAAGGAGATCCTCCATTGTGCATGTAGCAGGGCTCAGGCTGCATTGGAGCAGGTGGTCAGTGACTATCACTTTATTTGCAAATTTCTGAAGCCTTGTGCCGAGAGAACAAAAGACGAAATCATGCAGTTTTAATTCATGTGTTTGCTTGGTTTTTGGAAGCACATATTGTGATCTGAATGATGACTGTCGTTAGTGCTACAAAGTAAAGATTAACGTTTCATTTAAGTTGGATTTATTATTTCTTTACAGTATTTATTTTTAATTATATATAATATTTTTATATATTATTTATTTACAGTATATTCCGCCCTTTTCACCCCACAGCGAACTCAGGGCAGATTACAATACACATATACATGGCAAACATTCAATGCTATTAGACATACAACATATATAGACAGATACAGAGGCAATTTAACATTCCAGCTTTCCAGCTTCCTGAGGGTATACTCGACTGAAGCTGAAGCTTCACCGTCCACTTGTGACACCGAGTCCGTGATGGAGTACTTCCTCATTCTTATACATGCTGCTGGAAAGTTTTATGGTGTCATAAATTAGTTAAATTAGCCTCCCCTCCTAAAACAGTACCTAAATTTCATGCTTGACAGATGCAATTGTCCTTCAGGCTGCATAGGTCAAGAGCAAGCTAGACTACTAATGGTCAGGAACTCACTCCGACCCGGGCTGGCTTCGAACTCATGACCTCTTGGTCAGGAGTGATTTAATACAGCTGGCTACTAACTAGCTGTGCCACAATCCAGTCTTACGGGTGACTTCCAATATGATCGTACACATGTTTATAAAAATATTATGCATGAAATGTCTTTGTAATAATTGGAAACAGATATTACTGTAACTATAGAAATGTTTTTAAAAGATACATTAATAGACCAAAATTTTCCAAGATTTATTTTTGAAAAGTTTATTCATGAATTCTAGCGTCAATTACATTTGTCTCTATCTTTTATTATCACAACCTTACAGTTTGTGCTCCCTTCTAGTCTCCTATTAATTCAGCACTAATAGAACCAGCCATTTTCCCCATTAGAGGTTGCAGTTTCTTTAATTCATTTTCTCAAGTTCAGTGCCTCATGGAATTCAACATTATTTGATATGATTGCCTAACATCACAGATTATGTATGTTCTCAAATAGCTCTCCTCTGAAATACAGCCACAATGGCAATAGAAAACTAAATCTATGTGACACTTTTGGAAATTAATGTATAGCTGATTAAGACATGCTTTGAATTTATCTTCTGTTATTTGACACACAGAAGTTGGTTAGTTAGCTGAATTGGCCAATCTCAGTTATGTTGACTTCAGTAAATCTCTAAGCAGGAATGGGTCAGAATCTAATCTTTTATGCTTTTTAGCCATGGTATGGGTTGACTATCTCTTACCTAGAATTCTGATATCCAAATTATCCCCAAATCCAAAATTATCTAGATGGGTGGCTGAGACAGTGACATCTTCACTTTCTGATGATTCTTTGTTTCATGCACAATATTGTGTTTAAAATTATCTTCAGGCTATAAGTAGAAGGTAGATATGATGCATATATGTATTTTACTTTTAAATTTGGGCCCCATCTCTGAGATATCTCAGTATGTACATTCAAGTATTTCAAAATTCAAAAACATCCAGAATATGAAACATT